CACCCACACACACACCCAGCCATCCACACACACAGCCACCCACACACCCACACATCCAGCCACCCACATACCCAGCCACCATGCACCCAGCCTACCCACCCACCCAGCCACCCACACAGCCACCCACACAGCCACCCATACACCCAGCCTACCCACATACCCAGCCACCCAGCCATCCACACACCCACACACTCACCCAGCCACCAACACACCCACACATCCAGCATCCAGCCACCCACACACCCAGCCACCCACATACCCACCCACACACCCACACATCCAGCCACCCACACACCCAGCCACCTACATACCCACCCACACACACACCCAGCCATCCACACACACAGCCACCCACACACCCACACATCCAGCCACCCACATACCCAGCCACCATGCACCCAGCCTACCCACCCACCCAGCCACCCACACAGCCACCCACACAGCCACCCATACACCCAGCCTACCCACATACCCAGCCACCCAGCCATCCACACACCCACACACTCACCCAGCCACCAACACACCCACACATCCAGCACCCAGCCACTGCGCACCCAGTGGAGGCACAGAACCCAGGCCCTTCCTCAGGGCAGGGCCATCCCCAGGGCAGGGCCTTCCCCAGGGCAGGGCCTCCGCAAATCACCACCAAGCTGTGTGCCTGGAAGCTGGCCTTAGGGTGTGAATCCCAAGGAGACACAGAGAGACAGGAGGACGGATAGTGACTTGGAATGGAGGAGACAGGGAGTCAACAACACCTAGGAGGGCCCCCAGTAGGTCAGTCACTTCTCTTCTCTTGAATCCATCATAAAACATTTACCCTACCCTCACCAGTTTGGCTCAGTGGCTAGAGTGTCGGCCTGTGGACCAAAGGGTCCCAGGTTTGATTCTGGTCAAGGGCACACACACTGGTGACAGGCTCCTCCAGCCCGGGCCCTCATCAGGGCTGGTGCAGGAGGCAACCAACTGATGTGTTTCTCTGACATCGATGTTTCTCTGTCTTCCCCTCTTCCACTCTCCCTAAAAATCAATGGAAAAATATCCTCGGGTGAGGATTAACCAAAACACACACACTTATTCTAAGGGTATAATACCTTTATGCCACCACTTTTTTAAAAAATGTATTTTTATTCATTTCAGAGAGGAAGGGAGAGGGAGAGAGAGAGAAGCATCAATGATGAGAGAGAATCATGGATCGGCTGCCTCCTGCACGCCCCACACCGGGGATCGAGCCCGCAACCCCAGCACGTGCCCTGACCGGGAATCGAACCTCGACCTCCTGGTTCACAGGTCAACACTCAATCAACCCCTGAGCCACACCCCCAGGCCTCCTCTTCCCCAGTAATCCTCGGTGACAATGATAATAACGGGACAGCAGGAGCTCATTGAAGGAGGAGAGCTGGCGCTGAGGAAACACCAGTGGTACCAGCTGCTGCCACTGGTGAGGATCTTCGTCACCCCAGCAGCCCTGAGAGCCGTCAGGCACCTCCAGGTTGGAGCACAGCCAGCCCCGCCGGCCACAGGCCAGAGGCAGCGTCCGTCGGCTTCCCCGGGGGCACTGTGCTGGCACGTGGACAATACAGACCTCAGCAAACATTCCCTGAAGAAGCCCTGGCCAGTTGCTCAGTGGTTAGAGCACCAGCCCTCACTGATGGGGCACAGGTTCGATTCCTGGTCCAGGGCATGTGCCTGGGACGCAGGCTCAAACCCCAGCCTGATAGGGTCGCACGCGGGAGGCCACCCGTTGATGTGTCTCTCTCACATCAGTGTTTTCCTCTCCCTCTCTCCCCTCTCCCTTCCACTCCATCTAAAAGCAATGAAAAATACCCTTGGGTGAGGATTAAAAAAAAAACACAAATTTCAAAGACTGACGGAAGGAGTGAGTGCAGGAGAGGCTCCACACCCAAGCGAGGCAGCTGCTCCCCGGGGCCATCCCCAGGCCCAGGTGCTCCCAGCCCCGGGCTGCGGTGCCTCTGAGCAGCCGCCTTGGCAGGCCTTTACCCTGACCCCCTCCCCTCTCCCCCACTCTGCCCTCTGCCCCTTCGCCCCTACTCACCAGAGCGCAAGGCGGACAGGGGGCAGGGGCCTCATTCTTCTCTAGGCTCTTCTTCTCGGTCATGGCGCACAGCCCGTTCTGCACGGCCCGGAACAGCATGGGGTTCAGGTCTCCGTACTCGCCAGAGGCCACCTCGATAACTGGGGGACACCGAGCGGGGTGCGCGGCCAAGCTCTAGCCTCAGTTCCCAAGGGCAAGCCGGCCCCTCTTGGGTGTATGGTGAAGGCGGGGAGCATGACCCCAGCCCCCACCTCAGCCCCCTCAGCACCCAGCCCTGACCCCCCACCCTGGCCCACGGCCCACTCACTGAAGTCGGCTGGGTTGTGGTAGGTGGGGCAGTGCAAGCCCAGGCCCTTCAGGTAGGGGATCAGCTTGGTGACCAGGCCCTTGAATATGCACTGGCCCTGGCTCAGGATGTAGAGCTGAGGCGGAGAGGAGGGTGAGGAGGACAAGCCGTGGTGCAGGCGGCCGGCAGCACCGCTGTGGACCCTTCCCTCGCCCCATCGCAGGCCGGGCATCTGAGGCCAGAGACACTCACCTTGTCAAACATCTCAAAGAGCTTGGCACTGGGCTGGTGGATGGTGCAGATGACGGTGCGGCCGCCCTGGGCCAGCGACTTCATGAGGGACACCACCTGGAAGCAGGAGGCGCTGTCCAGACCACTGTCCAGAGAGAGGCCCCAGGGAGGGGAGGCGTGTGAGTTGGGCGGAGCCTGTTTGGGGTGGGACAGCTACTATACAGGGGATGGGGCTGGCAGGACGGGCCAGCCCCTCTACCCTGTACACACTATGATCCAGACATCTGGAGGGACCAAGAAGCCCAATGTGACAAGCATATATTGAGCACCTATCGAATGCCAGGCACTGGGATTACAATGAGGAATAAAGAGGAGGTAGAGAAGTGCACGGATCCTTTGCAATCACGTGGAACGTGCTGTGGAAACACGGAGTGAAAGAGGTGGAGTATTCAGCCCTCTGCATGAGGGTATTGCAGGGAAGTGAGAGAAGGTTCTGGAAGGAGAACACGCTAAGTCAGGTGAAGGTGCAAAGGCAGGCGTGGTGGGGAAGGGCATTCCGGGCAGAAGACACAGCACGTGCAAAGCTTAGAGGCATGAATCACATGGCCCGACTCAGGAATTCTAAGCAACTCGATATTATTAGAGCAAACATACAAGACAGCCTGAAGCAAGAGGTGAGGTCAGAGCAGGGCCTTGTGACTCCTCTGACTTGATCCTGAAGGCAAATGGCATCATACATGTTGTCAGTGGGGAAGAGAGCATCGCCAGGCTTGGCTTTTTTTTCTTAAATCCTCACCTGAGGATATTTTCCCATTGATTTTAGAGAGAGTGGAAGAGAGAGGGAAAGATAGAAATATCGATGTGAGAGAAACACATCGACTGGTTGCCTCCTGCAGGAGCCCCGACCAGGGCCCGGGAGGAGCCTGCAACGAAGTACATGCCCTTGACTGGAATCAAACCCGGGACCCTTTGGTCTGCAGGCTGTCGCTCTATCCACTGAGCCACACCGGCCAGGGCTGAACTTGGCTTTTAGAAAGCTCACTGGTGGCGGCTTGGAGGGAGGATGGGCCGGGAGAGACTGAAGGTGAGAACATAGGAGCAGGTTGCAGAAATGCAGGCAATGGTTGATGGTGCCTTGAACTTAGCACTGGCACTAGGAAGGGGCTAGGGCAGGGGTGGGCAAACTTTTTGACTCGAGGGCCACAATGGGTTCTTAAACTGGACCGGAGGGCCGGAACAAAAGCATGGATGGAGTGTTTGTGTGAACTAATATAAATTCAAAGTAAACATCATTACATAAAAGGGTACAGTCTTTTTTTTTTAGTTTTATTCATTTCAAACGGGCCGGATCCGGCCCGCGGGCCGTAGTTTGCCCACGGCTGGGCTAGGGTGAATCTGAGAGGTGGAGAAGGAGGTAGAATCTGCAGGACTTGGTGACTGGCTGTGGCAAGAGAAGGAGATGGAGGCATCAGGCAAGGAGGAAGGGTTTCTGCCTGTGAGGGCGGCGGCGGCAGCCACGGGCCTGGCAGGGAGAGAGCGGCGTGGGCCTCATCCTGGCCCAGGAGGCTGAGGGCAGGCCCTGGTCTCCACAGCCAAACAGGTGCAGCCTCCGGCGTGAGCGCAGGCGGGGAGGGGAGAGCTACCTGGTGGGCTCGTCGAAGAACATGACCGGCGGGTTGTTGACCAGCTCCAGGGCGATGGCCAGGCGCTTCCTCTGCCCGCCCGAGAGCAGGGCTGTCCTCGTGTGGGAGCAGGACATCAGGCCCAGCGCCGTCAGGATCTCCGTCACCTGCCCAGCCCCGCCCAACCCCAGATCAGCTTCAGTGTCTCTGCTTCCCTGGGCACCACCCCAATTTATTTATTTATTTTTAAAATTAATTTTTTTATTGATTTCAGAGAGGAAGGGAGAGGGAGAGATAGAAACATCAATGAGAGGGAATCACTGATCAGCTGCCTCCTGCACGCCCCCTAGTGGGGACCAAGCCGGCAACCTGGGCATGTGCCCTGACTGCAGAATCGAACCATGACCTCCCGGCTCTTAGGTTGATGTTCAACCACTGAGCCACGTTGGCCAGGCTGGGCCCACCCCAACTTAAGCATCTCCCTTAAGTCCAGGGTGCCAGCCTTGTACACCACTCTTCCACGCCCCCAACTCAGCGCCTCAGAACACAGTAGCACCAAAAAGGATGGCCGTCCCACCCCTACCCTTCCCCTGCCCCACTCACCAGCTCCTTCTTCACCTCTTGCTTCTCACTCAGCTTCAGGTTCGCAGAGACCTGAGGCCCAGAGAACAGGCGGGTCAGCTGTGTGTGAGAGGAGGCCCCTGACCCTTAGCCCAGGAGGAGGGTGGGGATGGAGGGCGATGGGAGGAGGGGCCGCCAGCCTCACCATCATGGCCTCCCACACGGTGAGGTGCGGCAGCAGCAGGTCATCCTGCATGATGTAGCAGGACATCTTGCGGAAGGTCCTCAGCTCCCGCGGCCTCCCGTTGACCAGGATCTGCCCCTTCATTCCCGACTCCCTGCAGGGACGTCATTGGGGGTGGGGGTCAAGGCTGCTTCGGACACCTGCTGGGCTCCCGTGGGGGGGGGCCTCCTCCCTGGGCCCTGCCCCCACTCCACCCAGCATCACCCTCACCTGTATCCTGCCAAGATGTTCATGAACGTGGACTTGCCAGCCCCTGAGGGGCCCATGATGCCAATTAGCTCCCGGCGGCAGAATTTACCCGATAGGCACTTGAGGAGGGTCTTATAACCTGCAGTGATGGAGGGAGGAATGCTGGGTAAGGGCTGGAGTGAGCAGAGGCCTCCGGGCTTGGGGGAGCCACCATGACTGTCAGGGCAATGGGCAGTCCTCGCTCAATGTGAATCGGGGAGGATGGGGGAGGAACCTTCAGAGCCCCTCGAAATGACCACTCCACTGTCCAAGTACCAGCGGTGAGCCCGGCCCTGGCCAGTGTGGCTCAGTGGCTAGAGTGTAGGCCTGTGGACTGAAAGGTCCCGGGTTCCATTCTGGTCAAGGCCACATGCCTGGGTTGCAGGCTCCATGCCCAGTGGGGGGTGTGCAGAAGGCAGCCGATGATCAGTGATTCTCTCTCATCACTGATGTTTCTCTCTCTTTCTCCCTCTCCCTTCCTCTCTGAAATCAATAAAAATAGATTTTTTTTTAAAGTACCAGCGGTGACAATGCTCTTCTGAAAGCCATGGGGAAGCCCCACATCTCATGGCTGGGCACGGGGAGGGGTCAAGGTTACAGACAGGCGTCAGTCACGCTCTCACCCCTCCAGAAGGCTTTCCCACTGGCCCAGCCCAAGCTGCTGGGTGGCCCCTGGGTTCCCGGAGCACTTCTCACCGCCGGCAGGGCTGGTATTTGCTTGTGCCCGTCGCTCCCCCTCCTCCAGCCCCTCGGCCAGTGAGCTCCTGGGGCAGGTCTCGTCCTCCTCATCTTTGTAGCCTCGGCAGACTGTCTGGCAACTAGATGCTCCCTAGTGTTTGCTCCATGGACGTGTGTTCACAGAGACTGGGCCTCGTTCTGAAAGGCCATCTTCTCTGTGGGCGCTCTGCCCCGGGCTTGGATCTGCAGCCCCTAACACGGCCCGGTAAAAGCTCACCTTCACTCACTCATCGGAAGGCAGAAAGGCACTGGGTCAGAGCCAGGTGAATCTAGGTTCAATTCTAGCTCCAGCCCTAGCTGGTGTGGCTCGGTGGATAGAGCATCGGCCTGCGGACTGAAGGGTCCAAGGTTCGACTTCAGTCAAGGGCACATGCCCGGGTTGCAGGCTCAATCCCCAGTAGGGGATGTGCATGTGTAATCAATCAAAAAAAAAAAAAAGATCCAATGAAATAATCTATGTAAAGCATATGACAGTGTTTGGTATGCAGCCCGCTAAAAAGGTGACATCATATTATTAATTCTATTTGACAAATGTTATTGATATCTACTATATTCCAGACACTGGACAAAACAATGAGGAAGACACATTTCTGTACTCAAGAATCTCACAATCTACGTAAAAAATATCTGAGAAAAAATCTATAAGGGTTATAACAAAAGTATATGCCCGGCCGCTGTTGCTCAGTGGTTGAGTGTCGACCCATGAACCAGGAAGTAACTGGTTCACCCCAGTCAGGGCACATGCTTGGGTTGCAGGCTCAGTCCCCAGCAAGGGATACATATATAAATACATGTATATATTTTTATTGATTTCAGAGATCCAGGGAGAGGGAGAGAGAAACATCAATGATGAGAGAGAATGATTGATTAGCTGCCTCCTACATGCCCCCTATGGGGATCGAGCCTGCAACCCGTGCATGTGCTCTGATCTGGAATTGAACTGTGACCTCTTGGTTCCTGGATCAACACTCAACCCCTGAGCCATGCCCAGCTGGGCAATAAAAATATATTTTTTAAAAGTATAAATAATGCACAATGCAGATGCAGACAATGGGACTGATCAGGGTGGAGGGCAAGGGGAAATCAGGAATGGCTTCATGGAAGAGGTGGTATTTGCACTAAGTCTTGAAGGAAAAGCAGATTTCAAAATGGTAAGGGAAGGCAGAAGTCCTCCAGGCTCTGGGAGGAAAAGCTCTCCCATACAGGCACATCTCTGTAATACAATCCAGGGAGCAGAGGGCAGTGACTGGGGGGGGGGGGGGGCCCCCGGGGGGGAAAGGGGGGGGGGGGGAGGGGGGGCACAAGGG